CTCAGCCCAAGAAATACAAACGAGTTCCAATCTCAAAAGTTTACCCCCCTACCGTAGTCGCTCATGACCTTAGTAGTTTATGCGACTTTAAACAAATTAAAAAAAAAAAAAAAAAAAGTTTTTTAATTTTTTAAATTAAAATAAATAATAATTTAATAAATAAATTAAAATTTTATAAATGAAATTTTTGTTTATTTTTTTGAAATAATTAAAAAAAAAAATTATAAAAAATTTTTAAATGTCGGCTAACTAAATTTTTAAATGTCGGCTAACTAAATTATTATTATTATTATAATTATTATTATAAAACTTACTTTCTGAACTTGACAAGTATAAGCTTGAATGTAGTCAGTACCCTCTTTGCCACTGTCACTCATCACTGACGTTTCAGATGAGCTCATTTTAGTTTTTTAATTGTTTTATAATTATTTAACTTCATAAACTATTAACTAAATCACGTAAATTATATCACAATTGATATGTGTTTTTATTCCGAGATATCGGAAAATATTTCATTAAAATTATAGGAATGATTTCCATATTTTTCTCTCCGTGTATACTAGTTACAATGTAGCTTTATTAAGAGGCTAATTATAGTGGAAAAAGTAGTTATGATTAACGCAATGACATTATCATCACTCGTAAGTGTATAGATGTTCTATTATGATAATGAACAAGTAGTCGTAATAAATTTGCAAAAGTATGTATGTTATATGTTTGTCCTCTTCAAAATGCTTGACTGGTCAAAAAGTATGCAATCAATTCACTCTTATAATTTAGATGAAAAATATGAAAATATATATCATGTAAGAACAAACTTTTCGTAACGTGATTGGTCAAATATATCATAAGCATGAAAATATAGATAATTCCATACCAACATTCACACGCGCGCTTGCGCGCACAACGTATACTAGTAATATTAGAAAAAAGTTTTTTTTTTTGAAAACTTCTAAGATGTTGAAAATTGAATTTTTTCTTCGTTCCGTACCATTTGACATTCAAAAAAAAAATTGCCTTTTCATATCTTCGAAACTACGCATTTTATTGTAATAGACGTAAGTGTTAATTTTGTAGAAAATGAAATTTTTTACAATATTTTCATTTGCTTTTTTTTGGTAATTTTAGTTATTTGTGTGTTAATAAAATATATGTACAAGAATTCCTCTTGAAACCTGTTGGACTTTCTTCTTGAAAATATTTCCCATTCAAATGAATAATTCAGAACCCCTGAGGAATTTCGTAAAATTTAGCACAGATAATTTGTAGGAATGAAATTATCTACAAAAAATGTCTAGCAACATTTTTCAATGAAGTCAATAGTTTTGCTGGGAAATTGAAAAAATTTATCAAGATCTTAACTTTAATCTTAAATAACCTTTAAAAAAGTGAATTTATCAAAAATTTATAAAATTCTTATTTTAAAGAGTGTCAAATTTTCTAAAAACAATATGTCCAGCACTTTTCATAACTTCAAAATGAAGATGAGGAAAAAAATTCCAAAATTAAAAAAATTTTTTCACTGTGTTATTTAAATGGAAAATGAAAAATCTCAATTCGTGATTTCTAAATATCAATATTAAGCACTCAAAATTACAA